TATCTAATATATATAATTCTCTTACGTGGCTCCCAAATTTTGGCTGTATTTCTCTTCCACCGGTGGCAACGTTTGCTTTGTTTTGTTCACGTTACTATTTCTCTTACACGGCGAATCGACCTATGATTGCCGCTATAAAAGTCACGTGCCAAATCTGGCTGAGGTGGCTCAACATATAGCGCTTTTAAAAAAGGAAACTGAAATAGCCAGAGAGCATCAACTACGGAAATCTCATACTATTAAGCTAGGCAGAAGTGAGTAGTTTTTGTCGATAGATCTCTATTTTAGTATTTTGTCGAAAGCGCTTTTTTTCACAAATGGCTCACGAATTTATTTGACGAATTTTGATTTATATCACGAATTATACTACAGCACATTTCTAATAGGTTTAACGAATTACATGTCATTTATTTGAATTCAAATTTAGTTTAATGACTTAGTGTTTACTAAAAAGAGGTAATTTTTTTAAAAAAAAAGTTTTTATATGAATTTGAGTGATTGTTTTGAATTCTTAGAATTTTGTGCATTTGCAATGTGCCTAAGTTAGTAGCGAGCGAAGCAAACCATATAAGATTGCGCAGCAATTTTCGGGGGTTGGCGAGCGTTAGCGAGCAGGAGGCGCATCCCACTAGTTATTTTAAAATTGTCTATTATATTTTGATAAAAGTGATAGTACCTATCCTATTGTTGTAATTATGTTACAATAATAAGATAGGTATACATTATTACAATGTTGTATTATTATTAGGGATATATTTCTTTCATTATTACAATCATTAAAAAAACATTCAACAAAGTTTGTTTTGTCGAAGAATAATAGACGATACGCTAAGGACCTCTAATTACTTGCGGGTAAAATAGTCAAATATCAAAAGTGTTAGCCAAACTTTAAAAGTCTTAGCCAAAAAGCAAATCTTAACAACAACAAAAATATCATTCAGAAAAAAAAAGAAGGATCACTGTAGAATATAAGTTATTTGAATTATTCAATTCTGTTTTATTGGTTTTTATACTACTCGCAGACATTTTTTAAAGGGATATGGGTATTTTAATCTATAAAGATAAAATCGAAGTTAAATTTTCTTAGTTTAGCAACCGCTTTAATTTTTGAATTTTACAATAAGTTTATTTTAATAAACAATATGTTATTGTCATAAGAACAGATATTTTCTTTAAAAATAGCTGGATGATAATGTACATATAGCTACCACTTAATCTGCTTTATTTGCACAAAACTTTTTGTCATTTGATATCGCGTGATGCAACTATCGTCTTTATCTGTATTTTAAGTTTCCTTTTTTATTCTTCTGATGCTTACATAATCTCTCGTTGCTTACATTATCTGGACTTAATATAACTCTGTTATGTGACACTGTAATCGTATAAAAAGTTTATGTAAGTTTTGTTCAGAAAAAAACTATTTTGACGTAATTTTCAAGATCAAGGGGAATATATATTTTTATTTTCAGTAGAAAAAATCGCCAATACTTCCTCCAAACACACAATTTGTTTCGCCGAATTTACTATTTTATCGCATTTGGCGAAGTGGTGAATGCTTAGCGTTTGCCCAGCTTACGCGATATAAGGACAAATCATTATAAATTTTGGCAATTCGTTCGAAGATATAAATTTGTCCCTTTATTGTATTGCAATTACCATCACTATTACTTTCATGTTTACTACAAAATAGTAAAATTCGATAAAATCGTAAATTCGGCGAAACAAATTGGTTTTGGCGCAAGTATTGCCGAACGATTTTTTTCCACCGAAAATAAAAATATATATTCCCCTTGATCTTGAAAATTACGTCAAAATAGTTTTTTCTGAATAAAACTTGCATAAACTTTTTATTAACTATTTTTTTAATTTAAATTTTTATTTTTCTAAGTAAAATAAAAACTTTACTTTATTAATACAAAATTATGTAATGAATATAAGCTTTTAAGTACATTAGAAAAATTCATTCATTTTGTAATTCTTTTAAAGACAAGCTTTTGATTAAATTTTTCACTAATTTGAAAATAACTTCTCAAAACAGTAACTTGCCCATGTTTTTCTCTTTAAATAACGAAATTTTTTGAGTACCCTCTACCTATATTTATTTATCTTCTTTAATCTCAATTTAACACCAATAGAATCTACTTGACGCTGTTTTTCTTTTAATTTAACTAGTTTAATGAATCAGACCTAAATCAGGAATTAAATTTCAGTAAAAAGTTTCCGGAAACTATAAGTCGGCTATAATAGACTAAAAATACAAAGTTGTTGGCAAGATTTTCTCAAAGCTGACGCAAACTTGCTGCTATAACTACTTTTTCGATTTAAAAAAAGTTTTACATCATGTAATTCTAGCACACGTTTTAATTATTTATAGTTGTGATAATACCGTACAAGATTTTTCTTTGAATAACAGAATTTTCTCAGCACTTTTTAAACTGTAGTATGATCGCAAAAATGATTCAAATATTTTAAATTCTCAAAAACGATTTTTTTTTTAAAGATCAGAAAAGAGTAAAAAAATAATTTAAAAGTAAAGCTTAGAATGCGAGTGTTGAAGATAGACATACAGACGATTATTTTCAAAGACATAGTAGCAGACGATTATTTTCAAAGAACATAATTTAAATTGCTGTTGAAGTCATATTTAACCAGGTTGGCAAGAAGCATGAAATTAAAAAAGGACATATTGTGTTGGTCATTCACGTTTTCTCTTTGTTTTTAAAAAGAATCAGTAGAACATTCCTTTTCTTTTTAGTTGAACTTTCCTGCGTTTTTTCTCACAAGGTAACATTTTTTTGCTAAATTAAACATTAAAATTTTATTTGTTTTTGTTTCGCAATATTTTTTCTGTACTACATTTATGTTTTTAATTTAGTAGTTAAGAATAAAAGGTTCTTTCATTTTGGTAACTGCAACAGCGAGAAATTTAAAAAATATCGCCAAATTGTATTAACTTTCAAATATCAACACACAAGCAGTCGAAACTATTGAAAATGTTATGTACAGGAAAGCAACTGATAAAGCAATTAAANTCACAAGGTAAGATTTTTTTGTTAAATTAAACATTAAAATTTTATTTGTTTTTGTTTCGAAATATTTTTTCTGTACTGCATTTATGTTTTTAATTTAGTAGTTAAGAATAAAAGGTTCTTTCATTTTGGTAACTGCAACATTTAGAAATTAAAAAAAAATCGCCAAATTGTATTAACGTTCAAATTTCAACACACAAGCAGCCGAAACTATTGAAAATGTATGTACAGGAAAGCAATTGATAAAGCAATTAAAATGAGAAAACACGAAATTATTAGAGATCAAATCTCCTTATTAAAATATATGAAAAAAAGGAAAAGGCACAATCATTCTTTATGATCGAAGTCAAAATAACATCGCATTAAATATTTAGCATTGGTGGAAAACTTCTTATAACAGCATTTTCCGAAGAAAGATGACATTAAATATTTGAAGATGTTTTGATTCATAGGGTTGTTATTTCGCAATCATAAAAAAAAGAACGACTAACCTTGAAATGAGCGATGTTTAACTGATTGTCGTCAAGGCAGAGAGTTCATCCACGCGCAATATAACTCAAGTTACGTGTGATTGTACGGTTAATCAGACGAAAAGAAGAAAAAATATATAGTCCTTAGTTATCAGGAGATGAAGCTCATAAAATCGTCTGACCTCAAAGTCATCTGTCTGGTAAATATTAAAATGCAAAGAGCAAAAGAAAAGATTTATAACTAAAAAATTTTAAACATATACTACACTTAAATAAGCAAGCGGCAATCAGTAAGTGGGATAGCGAAGCTTCATTTTAGGAGGCATTTAGGTCCGTTAGCGCAGTGTTCCCCGATCGGCGAACCGGTACCGGTCCGTGGATCAAATGGTACCGGGCCGCCCATTTCATTGAAACTGAATTTATACCCCAATTTGAAAATATCTGAGTTCCATTAAAATTTTATTCCTTTAAAAAATAGGGGGGCCCCCCGAAGGTAGAGACATACATTTTTGTTATGTATCATTGTCTCCGATTACCCCCAGATGGGGCCGTCTCATTGCAAAGAAACAAGCTTAGGGTTCCCATTGATTTAACGTTCTAGTAAGTTAAAATGCTAAATCACTTTATATTTATTTTTTGGTGCAACTGTATTATTTATAATAAAAATATAACCTCTCACAAAACTCGTGTTTTGAAAAACGGAGTCTATAACGTTTTTAATTCAAAATTACTACTCCTCGAAAAACATTTTTTCAACACTTAAGTGCACAACTGTCCATCTAATAGACCTTATATGCTTGAATTATTTAACTGATTTGTTAGGTAGAGCAATTCTTCTGAAATTTGCAAAGACAAGATTTAAGTATTAAAATCTGAATGTATGGTCCGCTAAGAAACATTTCCTTAGCGGCCAAACAAGTTGGCAGTAATACACCAGGGGTTCCTAAATGGAACCCTAGGGATATGTGGAAGAGTTAAAGGGGTTCTAAGAGATAGTACTTTTATTTAACCGGGTNAATTTTTTTCTTAATTATTATTCTCCACTACTAAAACGTGGTTTTTAAAAATATTACTTTTTATTTTGAATTTTTTCTTTAATATTTTTGAAACCTGTTATTATATTAAGATCCAATTAATTATCCAATCATATTTTTATGAACTTACTTAAAATAAAATACCTTTGGAAAAGAAATTGCAATTTTTTTTAAAAAAAATCTCATTTTTTAATAACAATGAATTGAATAAATTATGAAAATAGCACACATTTATAAAAAAAATTACATCAGCATTTCCCATTGTGTTTGTTAAATCAAAATAACATAACTAAATTAACAAAGAAATGTTTCCCAAATAACCATTTTCAAAGTTTATACCTAGCAGTTCCTTTTAGCTTTCATTTAAACAAAATCTATAATTTGGTTTATTTTATTCATTTTCAGATTATGTATATTCACCAAAAAACAAATTCTTAACTAGAATAAATTCAGCTACAGGACTGCGAATTTAACTGTCGGTCATAAAAACCTAGTTTAAAATTATTAATTATTAATCGATGAGTATATATTTCATTACTTTTATTTACAAAATAAAGTAGTTTAACTGGTTCGCAATTGTTTTTCGATATTTTATTTATAAAATTGGGATTACGCAGAAAAAAAGATCGATAATTTAGGGTTCTACAGCTGAACAAAAATTAGGAACAGTTATTTTTTAGGCTTTTAACAAAACAAAATAACTACAGGTACTCTGGGCTTATTATTAACTGCCTAATCAATTGGGCTCGTTAAGCAACGAATGAAATATTTTCTAGCTATCCTCTAAGTACGTGGGGCTCACATATATAAAAAGGTAAAGTTAGACATAAAGGCTAGATATAAAGGTAAACACTATATATAAAAATTTAAATAATAATTACCTGCNTACAGGTACTCTGGGCTTATTATTAACTGCCTAATCAATTGGGCTCGTTAAGCAACGAATGAAATATTTTCTAGCTATCCTCTAAGTACGTGGGGCTCGCATATATAAAAAGGTAAAGTTAGACATAAAGGCTAGATATAAAGGTAAACACTATAGATAAAAATTTAAATAATAATTACCTGCTTCTTTTAAATGAATATTATTTTAAACAATATCCATTTCAAGAAATTTCTCGAAAAGTTCATGTTTCCAAAAGCTTCTCTTGCAAGCAAAAAAAGTTCGCATGTTCAGGAAATCCAACGATGAATCGGATAATATGATAAATAAACATTTTGATGCGATTAAAAGCTTCTACTCTCAATGATTATCCTGTTGTAGAATAAAAAGAGTTAAATGATCTTAACTGCAATCACATTTGCGAGCTGTACAACACTGAAGGAAAGCATAAGACTTTATGTATAAACTAAGCTGTTTCATCAACTTGAAAACTACATACACATCTCGCAGTCACGTGACGTGATTTTCATTTTTTCAATGAAATGTTATGAAGTTACCAATAAGGCCCTTCATTGATTAAATGGTTCCAACTAGCAAACTCTGACCAAGAACCTATATTCACTTTCAGCGCATCCTCAAACTGCTTTCCAAATCCAACCGACGATGGAGACTTTTGATTTACAACAACCAGCTTGTAATTATTTCCATTATTATTGTCCCAGTGTTCCGCAGCAGAACACTTGAAGCACACACAGAATTCTATGACCTCGTATTTGGAAGCATTAGGAGGTATGGTAAAAACAAAAGAAAATGTGTCGTAGGGACTGTTGCCAGATTCAATGCCAGAAGGAACGAATTCGGCTTGCACGTCCTCGCTGCTATTCCATTTATCGAAAGTGATACGCAGGAAAACTTCTTTGTCAAATGCAATGTTCTTTACTTTGATTGTACCAGAAACCAACGATTCAGAATCTCGTATTATTACATTTTCTAAAGATACACAATTCTTCTGCAATCTGTCGCGGAATTCCATGTAATCTGAAGCCGGTTGGGCAAATTGAGCTACCCACTGGATTTCGGACGTTGGGCTAGGTTTCACGCCATTAATGATTTGCTTGAAGAACTCATCAGTCCAATTTGGAGGGCAATTTGAAGGCTCTGACATGATTTTGACATGGGTGAGGGCTAAGCCTTTATCATCGGCGAAACACACTCTCTTTTTGTAGTTTTCCCTATTGTTTTCTTCATCAGATTTTGCCATTAAACAAGACCTCATGTCTCTGGCGCAGTCGTATGAGTTTAAAGCTGAATTGAACTGATTGCGATTGTTAGGACCACGAAAGGGATTGTAACCAAAATCCATAAAAGTAGCAGTGTTGAAAATGGGTGGACTGGCTGATAAGAACATCTCAAAATCAATTGGCATCGTTCTTTTGGTGCTTGCGGATACTACTTTTTACAGTAGTTTTAAACAGAAACCATTGCATCAATGTTCTAGAATCTGAAATATAAAAAATACACAATTTGTAATATTCAAATGAAATTTATGTACACTCTTAAAAACTTAATCGAAAAATTCTCATTCAAAAATTTAGCATAGTAAAATGGATGAAGTTTTAAAATTTATAAATGTGTATGTGTACTCTTCTCTTTATTGTAATATGTGCAATACAATCAATGAAATATCTAAATTCGTAAACTGGCTAATTGTAATTTTATCCCTTTCATCTGCAATAACAAAAATAGAATAACTAGCATAGTATTAGTTGAGTATTCATAATTCTCATACCTAATAATATACATTTTACAATATAATTTTGTGCAACAGGTCCCTTGTAGATAAAATTCTCTGTATGGCTTTAATATAGGTCAAAACGGTACCAATAGACGTATTTGATTTCAATTTATTATTCTCAACACATTGCCGGAAGAAGATATAAGACCAGGAAGCTACTCGAACTTTGAAAGGAAAGAGTCATCTAAAAATGTTGATGTTCCAATTCCGAAATTAGAAGAAAAAAAAATCACATGATCCGGAATTAACATCAATTTTGAAAAGATAAAAAATTTTTTAATTAACAGTTAATAAAAGAACTAGTGAAGATAAAAATGTTTAAGAGTGCACTTTTTCTTTAAGATAGATTTTTATAATGTGTGCAGGGAAGGCTTTTTTATAGGTCAGTTTTAGCACGAAAACTGCTAATTCGTTGGGTTTAATTTCAGTCTAATTTTAGATTACAATTTCATAATCTTTTCTAAAAAGATACGAGTTCGCTTTATTAAGGACTGGTCATTTTCTAATTTAGATCTGTATACTTGGATGTTAGTTTCAGAAATAAATGCACTTTATATACTTTAAAAAGTTTATTAATTCAGTTACTAATTATCCACTTTGGATTGAATTATTTACTTTATTATTGGATCTAGAATATCCCTTTAAAAGAGAAGGTGTTACTAAAAAAATCTATTTGCGGACCGGATTAGAGGAGATTGGTGGTGATTAGTCTCGATCGCTTATATATAAGCCTGTACGTGTAATTGTTCTCAAGTCAATAGTTTATATTATCTCAATAGCTTAGTTCTATTTTGAACTATATTCTTAAAATGTTTTCTATACTGCCTGAAAATTAAATTTTTAACAGAACTATTTTTTGGTGTTGGAAAAGCAATTCAAGGTAATAAGTTATCTATTAAATTTAAAATCGTAATAGAACAATTCAACTGCTGAAAGATTCGTGACTATGTACAAATTTTAGAAATATAAAAAAATTTCTTTTATTTCGTTAAGAATAACATTTTGACAAAATCCTCATATAGTTTAGTCTTCGTGTTTATGAAATTTCAATAAAAATTCAGGGGTCTGTCCAGACATTTTGTGAAAGGTCCGGTTTTCGTGAAATTGTGAAAAAATTACTCCCATCCTTTCAACCAGGGTCCTGCTTTTATGAATTTGGGCAAATAGAGTCCGGTTATTGCAAAAAACTTTTTCAAGGAGTTTTTAATTTGTAAATCGATACAAGATTATGCTTAGCACTGTAAAATTATAATAATAATAAAAAAATTTCAAAATTATAGTTGCTTCTAAATTAGAGATGCAACATACAAATATTTGGTATTTAGCCTATACTGCTGAACGCAGAATATTCATTTCGGACGAATAATGGAAGAATCGTCTGCCGAAGACAAAACTTAATTCGTTTACATCCATCTTTCTTGCTTTGTGCCCTAGGAAGGGTTTATTCAATTAACAAAACAATAATGAAAATAAACAAATTTGTGAAGGGTCCGATTAAAAGAAAAATCATTTTGTGAAGGACCGTTTTTAAGATAAAATATTTTGTGAAGGGTCCGTTTTTATGAAAAGATATTTTGTGAAGGGACCCAAATTTCTCCTAAACAGACCCCTGATATCCAATAAATATATCATTTGTGGATATATTTTCTGGTCCTAGGCATCTATATTCTGTATATGAATGCAAAAAAAGAAATAACTATTTCTAATTCCAGTAATGCAAAAAAAAATTTTAACAAATGTTATTTCGATTAATGTAACGAAGTCAAACGAGGCTTTAAACTAAGTGTGCCACAAAAGTACAAGGGATGTAAAACAAAGAAAGAGGTGCCACGAGGTCATGGGACCCTTAACAGAAAAACAGCGCAAAACCATAAAAAAAGTTTTAATTTCATAATATCATAAATCATCTTAAATATCAACACAACAATTTATATTTTATCGAAAAGACAAAACTGATTAGAGTACACCTAATAAGGAAAGGCATTCAATACGATTCTGCTTTATACAGGTCGTTTCACGTTGATTTTTAAAGATGATATGAAAGATGTTTGTTTACCGATTACAAACTACACCAATCGTGCAGATATCTATCAAGTGTTTACTATAAGGCTTTTTTTCTGAGATAATGCTAGATTGACAAAGTCAACATTTCATTCAACCCATTCACGGGTCATATATATTATACTCTTCAGAAATCACATTTGATCGATTTCTAAACCAGAATGTTGTTTAGATTCAAGTAAACATACTAAGTCACGTGTTCATAATATTTGCGAATTTTCAAAGTCAATGGGTTTGTGAAATCGTTCCTAAAGCCAAAGATGTTTATTTACTATGATTTCAAGGGAGCATACTCTAAATCAGGACGAGCCGAAACGCAACCTGGGAACCGCTTGTGACCCAACAAAGCGCATTTGCCAACGATAGAAATAAAAGAGTAAAATTGTTGTGAGTGGTGGGTTACAAAAAACAAAAAAAAACAAAACAAAAAAACTCACGCATGTTTAAGGTATTGCAGTACTGTGTAAATGCAGATAATTTTAAATTAAAAAGTTCTCCATGAAATTGCCACGTCTTCTGAATTGGGTTCAAAATTATAATTCACATACGTGGGTAGGAGAGACGGTAAAAATTGAAATTTGTTACTATTCACAGTAAATTAGATTTAACAGAACGAATTCTTTAAATTCATAGCTTGATAAAAATGAAATGGCAATTACTAAACAAACTTGTGAACAAAATATAAAATAAGTTTAAGATATAGGCTTTCATTATTTAAAATATTAAAACACTTGTAAACGGCTCAGATCCTTATTAATTTTTTAAAAAAAACGAGCAAACAAAAATAAGCATAAAATTTATAATTTTCTTGATTTAATAATTAAATAATTAAAATAATAATTAAAATAAAAGTCTTAAGATCCAGAGTTAATACTACTTATTAATTCATCCGTAATAATCTTCATGATTATTATAAATCTTGATAATTATCATTATGTATGAACATTTCAGGAAAATGTGAATTTTTTAACTTAAATCATGTATTTCAACGTTAAAACAAAATCCTACAACAAAAAAAACTTAAACATTTAAAAACTCGTTATTTTATTTGAAAAAAAATTGCTAAACTTGTAAAACTAGACTTACGCATTTTATTTCGAAAGAATCTTTAAAAAGAAACAGAACCAAGTACGCTGCAACAGAAGTACGCTGCTATTTTGAACATTAAACTCTACCGCGTCAACAACTTATAAGAGTTATCTAACAAAAAAGATTATATAGTAGTGACTTTGACAGAAAGGTATCACCAATACAAAAGATTGTCCTTATCTATAAAGCAAAAGCTACAGTATCTGTTTTATAAGGCTCAAATAAATAAATAAAACTTTATGTAATATTTTTACATCATCCTAATTTACAATATACAAAGAAAAAAAATAAAAGAGGAACTCATTTGTTTTACGTAAACATAGAGCTAAGCCCCTTTCCGCTACCGCTCTACAGCCCTGATGATTGTTTCACAATAATTGTTTGCTGGCATAAAACAGTTTATTCTTCGAAAATTGAGATTATTCACTTAAACTACATGCACTAAAAAGAATTTTGTTTGCTTACGCCCCCCCCCCCATATTTCACGTCCAATATTCATTTCTTCAAATTAAATGTTTATTTTAAGTTAAATTTACTAAGAAAATATTAATAAAGATCTCGTGTAACTATTGATTCTATTAAGGTAAATTAGTGAACATAGATAATTTTGCTTCGTAATCAATTTTTTTAAATAACATTTAAAATTAAAGCCAGGGGTCTGTTTAGAAGAAATTAGGGTCTGTTAACGGACCCTTCACAAAATGATTTTTCTTTTAATCGAACCCTTCATAAATTTGTTTATCTTCATTATTATTTTGTTAATCGAATAAACCCTTTCCAGGGCAGAAAACAAGAAAGATGGATGTAAACGAATTAAGTTTTGTCCTCGACAGACGATTCTTCCATTATTCGTCCGAAATTAATATTCTGCGTTCAGCAATATAGGCTAAATACCAAATATTTTTATGTTGCATCTCTAATTTAAAAGCAGCAATTGTTGTTTATTTTTTAAAATTTAATTTTTTTAATCATAATTTTACAGTGTTGAGCATAATCTTGTATGTCTTTACAATTTAAAAACTCCATGAAAAAGTTTTTTTTTGCAATAACGGACCCTATTTGCATAAATTTATAAAAGCGGACCCTGGTTGAAAGAATGTGAGTAATTTTTTCACAATTTCACGAAAAACGGACCATTCACAAAATGTCTGGACAGACCCCTGAAAGCTATATTGCTATAACGAATTTGGTGAGTTTACAAACTATCCTTTTTGCTAACCAAAGAGCCTGATATATTTAACACAATTTGTGCATTTCTCACATTCAGCATGAAGCTGATCGTCAAGTTCGAAATCATTTAACGAGTATCTTTAACGGTAATTTATAATAGCATATTAATGCAATTAGCATCGAAAAATAATTGCAAAACTGTAAATAAGTTTAGACACAGATTCAAACAAGTTTATCTTAAAATGTAACGTAACTAAGTAATATCTTAGAATTAAGTTACAAAGAAATAACTCTTATAGTTTCAAACTATTAATTAAGAAAACAATCAAAAGTGTAATAAGAGTAAAATAAAAAAAATAAATATTCCAAGCAAAAACCTTTACATT